AATATAAAACCTGCATTAAATATCAGAAGAATCCTGAAGCTGACAGGGAAACTGGTTCTTCCTTTAGGATTGGTTCTTCCTTTAGGAAAACACACATTAAGACAGAATGGCCTATTTTGTTTTTACAATTTAAAAATGATCAGGAAGAAGAATTAAGGATGGGACTTTAGAGATAACAAATGATGTTTTTGTTGTTTGATCACACAGAAGGAAGAAGGTGGTAGGGTTTGGAAGCAGATCACCGTAAAAAGCTTAGATTTCATTATAAAATTTAAGGGAAGGTCATTTAAGGATATGACAGTCCTTAGCCCATTCAGCTAACTTTTCATTTCTTAAGATTTGTTAACATTTTTATTTCTTCCCTGTAACAGGATGACTCTACTTAACAACCTGGTAGTTTTGGATAGCAACCTGTAGCATTTTTTTAGCTGGGCAGCAATTACTTTAATTACTCCACACAAAAGTGAAATATTGTTAAAGAAAAGGAAAGAAAAAACAAATTTAATTGGATGGAGATCACTACAGCCAAACTTATTTTTCATTAAAATGTTTTAGGTTTTTAAAAGTTAATTATTAAAGTATTTAAAATTGGACACAGAAATACAAGAAAACAGAATGTCTTGAAGATAAGTCTAATGCCATCATTGTTGTCCATTTAATTGTATGATGAACAAAGGCCACACCCGTGACATTATCAAGCAAGGTGGTTGGATGAGCTAAGGATCTCCATGAAGCACACACCATTTTGGGATCAACAAATCCACAGAAGAGCACCAAAAGACTTGTTTTCCATTTGTCGTCATTTTTTAAAAACTGGCCATTATACATAAGAGGAAAAATCTGCTCAAGTAAACAAATCCTTTCCTGTATCCTCCACAAAATTCTCTTTGCACAAATAATTTAACAGAGGAGCTTTTCAAAAGTTGTAGGCTGAAACTCTGAATAAATAAAAGACTAACAACAATGTTACCAAAATATTCAAATATCTCTGCATAAATTCCAGTATTTCATATTCTAGAAAGACTGCTAATAATGAGCATTTTAAAAATAAACAGCCTTCATATATTGGAAGACATTTTAAACTTACGCTTACTCACCATTCTATTAGCCTCTTGCAGTTACTAGCTTTTACTACTGTTGTTTATTACTTATTCAGAAAAACTCTAACTTGCCCCAAGGGAAAGCAGCTCTTTTTATACAGCTAAATGAAAAACTAAACTAAAAAGCTGTCCTTTGGAATTCAACACTTCGAATGCATCACGAGCAGCACTTTCGATGCCCTACTGCCATCCCTTGGGCTAAAGCACCCCAGTGTACAACAATCTCTCGCTCGTGCTCTCTCTCTGTCTGCAGGTGTGGCCAGAGCCCTGGTGAGGCACTAGAGAAGGGAAGTGGCAGTTTAAGAGCAACGTTAAGAAACTGGTGCAGCAGCACCACCTGGTGGGTACTGAAGAGATGCAGCCCTTGCTGCTGCTTCAGGGATGAACCACTTGTCCACTTGGTTTTCAATCCCCAGCTGACCAAAAGTTCCAAGATCAGAATTTTCAACCAACAAGACGAGTACTGCATGCATGTTTCATAGGCTCTCTGGAGTGCTGCTGGGCTCTACAATTTAATCATATGTCCCCTGTGATGCAGATAAGTTAAGTAATGCCTTGCTTTAGAGCAGTATGCAGAGATGTGTGTGAATTCTCTACTGTTACATTTAAAGGAGAAACCGTTGAAAGGCACAGGCCATTTGTTATTGTCTGCTCACACTTCTCCAGCCACAGTCATTTTAAGCCGGAAGCACAAATAATGAATAATGATATACTGCCTTTTATTCATTTCATAAATATTTACTCAGTGACTACTATGTGCCCATACACATATATCACAGAATTTTAATCTTAGGTGAAACTCTATTAGTATTCAATTTGGTTGTTCAATTTCTACAAGAACAGGTAATGTTAAATTGCTAAATCAGACTATATGATTAATAAGTACATAGTAGCTAATATTCACATGTTACCAGGCTTTATTGCTTTGCTGACGAAAAAGAAATTTCGATTTGAAAAAAGAAAAAAATTCCAGGATTGTTTTTCAAAACATTTAATAATTTCTGTTCTGTCAGTCTTGAATTCAGTTCTTCCAACCAAGATATTCTGTAAAAATGGCAAATATTGAAAATGTTCTCTTTCTGTCTATATCTTCGCTGTAGACCCATGGGTTCTTAAATGAGAGTGATTTTGCCTCCCAGGGGATGGCTGGCAATGCCTGTTTGGTGAAGGATGCTGGAATCCTATGATGCACATGACAGTCCTCCACAACAAAGAATTATCTGCTGTAAAATGTCAATAGTGCCAAGGCTGAGAGAACAAAAACTGTGTCTTATTCAAAAATGTACACTACATGGCAAGATAAGTGATAACTGTTTGGTGAAATAAATTGATTATGATATCTAAACAATTCTTATTATTTTCCAGTTGTATGAACAGGAAGGCAGAGTGGACAGTCGAGTTCAGAAAAGGAATGCCCACAGCTCCAGAAAAAATACTGAAACTGACACTAGCAGACACATATATATTTATGAAATAGGCAGAATAAAATAGCTTACCTGGACTTACTTTGGCCTGGATGAAATACCACACAAAACTACTCTGCTTTCCTGCCGGCCTTAAACTTGTTAGATTACCATTTAAACTTCAGAAGAATGCCTATGTCAGGAAAGTGTACCCTTAACAACATACAGGCAGAGCATCCTATTCCCTGGAAAGGTGTGCTTCATCCCCCACATAAGTAAACTGTATTATTCAAAGCCAGCCTCTCTGAGTCTGATCACCACGGAACGTCAGTGAAGACTGGGGCACAGACGACGGACTGCAGTGGACTCACAAGGATGATGATTCCTTCCTGAGGACTCTTGGTGAAAAGGAATCCAGACTTCTGGTCATTGCCCCTGTCATACAAACTGAGTAATTCTTCCCCCCAACTGAAGTTGCTCCTCGTATTATTATTCTACTAAAGATAACGACTAGAAGCATTTTGATGAGGATCATTCTAAGAAACTTTCCATAAATATAAAATTATATGAAAAATAATCTGGTCTATAGGCTGCTATTTTCATCCAAAAATATTTCACAGATCTCAGTTTGTATCTGTAACCACAGCTCTATGTTATCATTTGAATAGACTTTAGGTGATCCGACATTCAGTTAAGACATGCTCTTCTAAAGGTACCGATCACTTAAGGATGGAAACGTTCCACGAGAAACCTGTGATATGCGCGATCAAGATGAAGCACAGCATTGTGAGGAAAGCGACAAGCTTCACCATTCTAGACATAACAGCCTGACTGTAGATGAAATAATCCTGCTGCCCTTCCCTGCTGTTCTCTCAAAAACCCTCTGGGACTGATGCGGGTAACGTTAAATCTTTAAGGAAGTATTTATGGACCAGAGAAGCCAAGACATAGGCCCGTGGAGGCAGCCTCAAGAGCAGTGACTACTCCCTGTGAGGGTACTGCACTGGTAACAATGCAGACACAAAGGGGATTTTAAAAGGTGGTGGTAGGATTTTGACAAGTATATATTACTTTTATAATCAGGAAAAAAAAAATTGAAATGTTAACATTTGTTAATATTTGTCACACTAAACATTAAATTATTTAACATGTGGTAGTTCAACTGTTTTTTGGATATCATGTCTTACAGTCCTAATTCTTACAAACCTTTTGTTTGTTTTTTGGTGTCTTTTTTTTTTTTTTTTTTTTGGGGGGGGTAATCTGGGTATGAGATTTTAAGCTTTCCTATGGAAGTCCAGGAGCTGAAGAATTATACTGCCTTCTTACTTCTTCTGACAGTCACTGTGACCTCTAGAGAGCAATTTAAATGCCCCACTCATTTCCATTTTAGAATACAAAACTTCCAACTACACATGCTGAGCATCCTAAGCCCGACACTCACATCAGCCCACAGCAATCTTCAGTTCCGTGAAAGGCCCACATATTTCCTAGTGAAGTGAAATTCTTGATGGAGGTATGATGGCAAATAACAGTGTTCACTTTCACTTCTCAGAAAACAAAATACAGGAGACTAGATTGTGAGTTCCTGCAAGAGAGGCCCAGAGATGGCACACCCAGCTCCCCACTGGGGAAAAGAACAGTGGGAAAACAAGCAACAGTCAAGAAGAAAGAGTCATAGCGATGGTGCCTGAGATGCAGTACAGTGGAAAGACCTTCAGTGGAAAACAAGGACTCAGGAAATTCTAGAGTTTTAGGTCCACCTGTAAGACGTGCTCCAATACATTAAGGTCATGCAGTTGTACTCTGGGGAATGTTCTAATTAGGTATATGCAATATAAGGGTCTAAACTAAAGATCTGTTGGCTCATAATTGAATAAAACTACAAAGTTACTTCAATGTTAAAGACAATAAAGGCCTATATTTTCAATGAAAAATACTCTTAACAGAAACCAACGGGAAGATTTTTACACAGTTTCTGAACAAGTCAGAGAGTTTGGCCTATTAAGTGACTTGTACCTATTCAAGAGTGAGAAAATATTTTCGTAAAAATAAAAGCCTCTTTATTTCTCTGTGTGTCTCTTCTTGGAGAAGAGATAATGAAATTAGGTTAGATACATTTTGCTAGATTAAGACCAACCAAAGAGAGTCAAGTGAGAAAAGTGAGAAAAATCTAAACAATTTAGTTAGATGGCTCAGCTCCAATACTGACAAATCTTACCAGATAACCTATAGTTTGAAAGTTCACATTAATTCAGGAAATGTATTACTACCTTTTTCCTCATTTCAGACAGAATTTGAGGAAGGTTATATGCAGACTTACAATATAACAGGAAAAGATTGTGTAAGAATAAATAAATTTAGGTTAAAGGAAAATAAGGGTAGAAAAGTAAAAGGAAACTAGGAGAAAATATATCTTGGGAATGTGTGCATTAATGGAAAAATTCAAACTTGAAATTAACACTGATTTATGAGGTAAAAAAGAAGCTTTGCCACTCACCAATTTTAACCTCTGTAAAGGTATTCTGCCTACATCTATTTGTGTCCTTTCTGGGACATTAGTGAATCGAACTTCTGGGACCGCAACGGCGCACATGACATGGGCCCACCTACAGGAAAGGAGACATTAAACATAAACAAAAGTTCCCTAAACTTACATACTTCAACTTCGTGATGCCAGTTCTCACAGACGGGAAATACACAGATGAGCAAGAAAGCCAAAAGCCTAAATCCATCATGAACAGATTCTGAACCGTAAACCTCCTGAATGATACCTGGACAGACTCAGTACCACAGCTGCCCAACAACATTGTGCCATGAAGAGCTGGTAAAGGCCCAGGACTCTATCCTATCAAAGTGCATATATTTTTCTACACTTGATCTGCAAAACACTGAAATGTAGGTTTCTTATTTCACGTGATGCTGGAATATGCATGTGCTTAATGTACTTAAGCTAATCAATATGTGCCAAGAGATTAGTTCAATTAATAAAAGGTATGAACTGAGTATAGCATATAACCTTTTTAAATAATACAAATGTCATGAAGCAAACTTGTTCAAGTAGCAAAAGTTCTCCAAAAGAATTAATGCTAATCCTTAATTATATTGTTTCTCGCTGCAATCTTACTATAATCAATGAGACCCAGAGACAAAGAGAAATGAAATTTATGTTGTACCCTGGTTTCCTACTTTTTTCACTTTCTGAAAAATGACAACTTCTCATTAATACTATTAAATGTCTCATAAATGTTATATCCCAAAATAAATGTAAAGAATCATGAGGCTTGAAGAGATCTTGAAAGAATTGTCAAATCCATCAACATATTTTTAAGCCAAAGCATATTTACTTCACTCAAACAGCATCGGACTCTATCCTGTCTTTCAAGACCACAGGAAGAGAAAACAAGTATCAACCCCACCAGGGGATTCTTCCACACTGAAATAAATACTATCATTCTATAGAAAACACTATTTCTTTTTGTTGTGGTCCAAGCACAGAAAGAAAACTTCTTATCACCTGTCTTTATACAGGAACCACCTAAACCATCTCACAGTGTGGCATCCAGTGCAATATCCAAGAACTAGTGAAGACTTTTTAGTATAGTGCAAATCATATCAACCAGGACTGTGGAAAAACATCATCTTTCAAAAATTAAGCAAACCCTACAGCTCCTTACAACAAATTTCATTAATGTAATAATGATAAATACCTTCACTCCTCCTTCCCAGCAATCAGAAACATGTGCACATGTAAAGAATTATGCTAACTCCACCATTACATTACACCAGGAGTCCTAACTCCAGTGCCCAGGGGGCCAGGCGGAATGTAAGCAAATACACATATACCAGGAAATCATGGTGAACTGAGGAGTACCTGCCCCACTGCTATCCCAACCTGTTATTACTGCCATATAGGGATATACAATCATTTGCAATTAAAGATGAAAATCTGGATTTTTAATGTAAAAATCTCTCAATTTAAAAATTTTAGATGCAATTTATAAAATGGTGCATGGGTCCTACAAAACATATCTTGGACCTGAATCTGGCCCTCAAGTGCCAGCCTGCAAAATCTGCCCACGTTATTTTGACATGTCTCTATTCCAGCAATACCCTGTAATAATATGCTTTGGCCACATTTTCAATATTAAAACCTGGTCATGAAAAAAAATAAAATCTATGTAGAACAGTCATAAAAACTAGACTGCCTTCCTTTTATGTTCACTTGTGACTCTCTTTCAAGACTCTCTTCATATTCTCCACCTAATCCCTTTAAATCTTAGTATCAATGTTTTCTCTCAATCTTTTCTAATTTAGTACACTTATATTCTTGTTAATTTGCTAATGTAAAAAGTAAATGGTTTTGTTTTATCATCATTGTTATGACTGAATTATCTAAAGATCACAGTTTCACGTTCTTGGGTATGCCCTGTTTTTGTTTGTTTGTTTGTTTGTTTGTTTTTTGAGATGGAGTCTCGCTCTGTCACCCAGGCTGGAGTGTAGTGGCGCGATCTCGGCTCACTGCAAGCTCCGCCTCCCGGGTTCACGCCATTCTCCCGCCTCAGCCTCCGGCCACCACGCCTGGCTGAAGGTATGCCCTGTTTTTAACAGACCAATAGCATTCAACATATTAAACACCAGGATTCTAATGGCACCTGGATGATATGGGCTACCTTCATTTTTGAAACTCCGTAAGTAAAAGAGGGGTTATTTTTCATGGCTTCAAATACAAAGAACAGAAGCGTAACTTGGACTACTCTTGCCCTGCCGAGATGACAGTGCTAACAGTAGAAGTCTCTGAAGCACAGAATTCCAACCTCAGATCTGAGCAGCAAAAGCTTTGAAACCACATGTATAATGAGAGGTAAAGCGAACTGTCATCCAAAGGTTCTAGAATGGAGAAAGAAAAACAATGAAATTCAACACAGTTAATGTATTACTTACTTATTGTTCTTCGTTTGCTTAAGAGCACCTCCTCTCAAATTGCAGAGACAGCATTCCTGGAGGGAAAAGAAAATACCACATGATGACCAGACCCACACAACAAAAGTCATTACCATTCATCTAAATATTCTCAGAAATCCTGATTTTTCATTCTAAAATTAAAACTATCAGGAATTACATGAAGGTCTATCTCTGAGAAGTTCAAAAAGAAAGATAGAGGAAGGGGGAATGGTAAAGGTATGCCCCTCAAATTTCAGGGTGTAAAATTCTCCCAGAGGGAACCATCATGAACCTGGTATCATTTTAAATTGACATTGTCATCAAAGGAAAGCTGTGACACAGAGAACCCAGCAGTCCAGAGAACCTAGTCTGCATACCTAGGTATGTGCAAGAATTCTAGAGCAGAGAATGCACACACACGGTGTAGCCTTGTGCTCTGGGAATTCACTCCAGGATACAGGGCGGCTAAGGGCGGCTAATGAATGTAGTGTGGGCAGGCTTTTTTCTAATACAAGAATAAGCAAGAGGCTATTTTTAAACGATACTCTTTTCACCGAAGTAACACTTGGGCCTCACTCTTTCTGTGGGCAAACAGTGTTAGAAAAAGTGTCCTGATCAACCCCAGCTATCCGGCCCAAGAAAACAGCATCAAGAAACGTTTTGCTTTATCCTTCCCACATAAGCTTATCCTCTCAGCATTCTTATGTGTCTTAGCTTAGAATGTAATTTTCCACTCCAAGATGACTCCAATTGCTACAAATACAGATCTTACTAGTTATTTCTCACTACACTCTCATGAAAAAGACCAGGATAAGGAGGACCAGAGAGCAGTGCACTGCCCTCTCATGACCTAAATTGTTTTTACATTAAATACCAAAGTAAAATTTTTAATTTCAAGCTTGTCCTCACAATTTTCTGCATTAACACATTTTTTAAATCGGAAGAAGTTATTTGGGGTTTTTTCCTCCAAACTTCATATACAAAACCTCTTTACCCTGTCCACTAAAGTGATGTTCCTAAACAAAATTTGACAATTTTGCCTAGCTTTACGAGGAATCCACTTAACTGATCTACCATTAATGAGGTGTGAAACTTCATAGCTTATACTTTTCTGAGGAAAACGATACAAAAACAACTGAAAGAATCATGTATCTATGTAACTTTTGTTAGGCAGTAATAAATGCAAACAACCAGAATTGTCCAACAGGCTTGTGTGTCTGAAAAGTCTCTGTACGTCTATATGAAAATTCCTGGATTCAGAGTAGTAAGAGATACATTGTGTGTATTGATTTGAATCCACTATAAACCCAGCTCGAGGAAATAACAATTCAATGAAGAATTTTCTCTATCCATACCACAAAGCCATATCCTAGAGGCCCTTGGAATAACTGGTTTTGATGAATCATACCAAGAAAGCAAAATTTCACAGTCCAAATACTGAAAATGAGAACTCTGGTAGTTCATTTCATAAGTTCTCAATTTTAGGTATTTTTCCAGTAATTTAACACACTTTCTACAAAGAAAGAGGAGGTGAGAAAGAAAATGAATGAATGAAAAAGGAAACAAAACTTGAGGTCAAGTGCTTTCATTGTACACATGAAGATGTTAGTTTCAAAGTGGGAACGCAGCAAAGAGTTGCGGACTGTGAAGGACTCAGGCTCTAAGAGAATTAGATGTCTGATTAATGAAACTAGCAGTGAGAAGAAGCCTAAAGGGACAAGTTAGGAAAGTTAACTACAGCGCAGCAGCATGAAAGCTGCTCAAAAGCACCTGATTAGGATCATTAACAGGTACACATGTTCTAGAACACCAATCTAATAAGAGGAAAAAGTCCTCTAAAATACAAGGTGTAGGCTCAAGATTTTAAATGGAGTTAAGATGCTCCACCATCACAAGAAGAAACTCATTCTTTCTAGCCTCCCCTCCAAGTCACAGAATCTAATAGACAATTCCAAGTCCTTGGTTCACCTGACCTCTTAGCACCATACAATACTGTTGATTCTTCCTGAAACATTTTCTCCCTGTGGTTTCCATGACCCTTACACTCCTCACTGTCCTCCTGTGCCTCTAGTTGACTCTCAGCTTCCTTTCACAGGCTTCTCTTTCACTATCCTCAAATGCTGGAATTTCTGTAATAACCCCTATTACTTCTCTCTCCACACATGCCTGCTGAGCATCTGATCTACTACCCTGATTCGGATCACTCTCTATAGGCCAATGGCTCACACCTTAATTCCCTGAGGTGTCTGGCTGACAGTGCCACAGGCATCTCAAACACACATGCAAAACTGAACTCTCTTCTTCTCAAGCCTGTACTCCCCCACTGTTTTCCATCAGTGGTGCCCACTATCCATTCTAGCTCATATTGGAAGACATATTTTTCCTCTCATCTTTTAGATCCAATCAACTGAGTTCTGTCAATCCCACCTCCAAATCCACCCTGTTCTCTCCATCATCACTGCCATTCGCTGATAGCCCCAGTATCCTTCACGAGACCTAAACTATTGCAATAGCCACCCAGAGCTACTCTGAACCCCATGAGAGAAGGTTTTTAATGCTTCTCAGTATTTAATATGGCCTCAGATGGCTAGAATCATCAGGTCTTGGTCTTGGCCAGCTTCACTGTGTTTAGACGCCTCAAGGACCTCCACGAGGTTCCTTCTGTCCTAAACACTTCAGAGCCAGCCTGTGCCACTCATCAATAAACTAAGCACATTCTTGACATCTCGACCTAAATGTTACTCCCTCAAACAAGAATCCCCAATCCCTTGGCTCAGGTACTTCTATCTCAGGCATTCCCACTGACACTTTCACTGATACTCCCCTTTTATTAGCTTTATTACTCTTGCAACTATTTGTTGCATGCTATCTGCTGCCCTCACTAAACTGTAAACTCACTGAGTGCTATGAGAATATCTGTCAGGTTAATTGCTCTTACTCTATTATGATATCCAATAGAGAGTATACCCTTAATATGAGTTTGTTAAATAAATAACAAAACATGGCAAAACAGGGAAGAGTGAAAATCTTGAAAGTTAACAAAGGATTAATAAAATGCAAAGACCATTTTCACATACTTGGACTTTCTAAGGAAAGTATGCTGCAGGCTTTAGTGAGTTGACAAAGTTATTTTTGCCATGATTTACTTGAGAAATCTTATTTCTTTGTAAAGAACAAAAATATTCATGGCCAGGTACACTCGTAAGTTATTTATATGATATCACAGTTTCTGTTCTCTTCTCCCAATTTTGAAAAAAAAAAAGTAGGAAACAATGAAAGTCATGTCAAGTTACATCATTTGTTTGACTCAATGTCCCTCAGAGGGTCAAACTAGTTGATCTGGTAAAAACATAAAGATGCCAACCTGTCCATTCATTAATTTGTAGTTTCATTATATACCTATGTTTAAAGCCCAGTAGAAAACATACCAGATAAGACAACTTTTAACCTTTCTTTCCTTTTTTAAATAGTACTTTACTGTAAGACAATGTTTAACCTTTCTTTCCTTTTTAAATAGTACTTTACTGTCAGAGAACAAATTGCTATCTCTAAAAATTAACAAGTTAACTCTCACTCAAAAAGCAGCCCAAGTTTTCTTAAGAATCTACAAAGCCTGACACTAGTAAAGGCACTACACAAAACAGAGTAATTGTACCTGTATCATTTTCCTTCAAATCTTTCAATGAAAGAAGTTAAGGAGAAGGTAGGAAAGTTCTAGAGTATCCATCAAGACACTGAGTCATTAAACTTGATATCAAGAATAAAAATTAGAAGAACACAGACATGTATTGAAAGCCTAATGCATTCCAGGTACCATGCCAAAAATTTCATATACTTCACCTCCCTTCTTTAACACAAATTTATTAGGTAATTCATTATTTCACTTAATAAAGAAACTCAGATTCAAAAGATTAAGTGGTATTCCTAAAATCATCCAACCCAAAGGTTATCAAACTTTTTCTGTAAATGACTAGATATTTACTAGTTTAGACTTTGCACAACTATAGAGTAGTTGTAACCACTCAACTCTGCCACTGGAGGAAAATATTTAAACTACTGGTTGTGTCTATATGCCAACAACATTGTTAATTACAAAAATAGGCAGTGGGCTAGATCAGGACCATGGGTTAAAGCTTTCCAAGACATGATCCAATCAGCAAGGAGAACAACTGAGATTCAAACTCATGTCTGCCTAATCCAAATGTCCATGCACCTTTTCTCTAGCATCTTCTGCCCCAAAGTATAAGGCAAGGCATAAGGTATCAAAGCAGAGTGCAAAAATAAACAAGAAACGATGCCTGCCCTGTGAAGCTCACAACTGACAAGAAGAAAGTTCTTGTATGTACTTAAACAAAACATGAAGATGATACCGGCAGAGGCATTACCAAGTCTCCATGTGCTCATTTCCATAAATAATCAAGAACTTCTTTTCAAAACACAATCCCTGCAAAAGAACCCATATCGTAAAAAATTGTGTTCCCGGCAGCATATAACAATTTGTGTTCCTATTTGTTTCGTTAATCTAGCTAATAAAACATCTCATTGGTATAACATCATTAAATTTTCCCTACTTTATCCTTCCAAGTAATGATACCATTTGAAACAAACCAACATTTTAGTTATGCTGTGCAATATAACCTCAGGCTAAATGAATCAAATTTAACTGAGAAGAAGAACAGTGAAACTGGACAGCCATACCATATCACAGTGTTTAATATAGAGCAGATAGCCAGGTTTAAATCAAAGTTCTGCCATTTATTACTCTTATGATTGTGATCAGTTACTCAACCTCTGTGCTTCAGATACTTTACCTATAGGGGAAAAAAACAGTACTTCTCTAAATTAGTTAATATATGGAAAACACTGACTAAGCACGCACTAAATACAAAAGGTACAACAGTTAAACATGCCCAAGATTAACTGGTTCTAGATAACGTAAATATAACATTGTCAGTACATAACCTCAGTGTAGCTGTTTAGTGGGAAACAAAAAATATGGATCTGTGACGAATAATCCTCTTAAGGTACAAAAAGCAAGAAATAGAACTGGAGAGAA